CAGGGTGAATTACTTTTTGCACTCTGGGCACTTGCACATCCAGGGCTCGAAGATGTCGAAGTCTTTGAAGAACTTCATTACCATCAAAGAGTGCCTCAAACAATTCAGCGCCAGACACATTCGCTTCCTCTGCCTCATGAACAGGTCAGCCAGCTAGCTAGCTAGCTAGCTAGCTAGCTAGCTGGCTGGACGGCTAGCTAGCCAACTTGCTAGCTAGATGAGTGGCTAGCTAATTTTCTGGGTTGCTAAATGGCTACCTAGCTAGTTGACTAGCTAGCTGGCTAGCAAGTCAGCTAAGTAGCTGGCTATCTAGTTAGCTAGCTAGCCAGCTAGCTAGCCAGCTAGCTAGCTAGCTAGCTAGCTAGCTGCCCCACGTTTTCACTTAATTAATTATTACTTAAATATTAATTAATTGATTAATTATCAATTAATTAATTAGCTTAATTAATTAATTATTAAACAAACATATAAATATTATTTATTTTCAGATGGGACAGCCCGATGAACTACAGCCCCGACGGCGAGTCTCTGCAGCAGGCGCGGGAGGTGGACAAAATCTTTTTGAATTTTTTTTCTTTTGCAAAATCCAAAATTAAAAAGTTTTCTTCTTTGACGGATTTCCAACAAAGATGGACTTCTGAAGAGTTTGCGCTCAGCCAGGCCCTCGCGGATGCCCGCCAGCGGGTCAGCCAGCTAGCTGGCTAGCTGGCTAGCTAGCTGCGCGGCTGCCTGGCCGTCGCTGGCTAGCTGGCTAGCTGGCTCGCTGGCGGTGGATGGCTAGCTAGCTAGCTGGCTGGCTGGCTAGCGGTGCACGGCTAGCTGGCTAGCTAGCTAGCTAGCTAGCAAGCTAGCTGTACAGATAGCTAGCCGGATGGGTGGATGGATAAGAGCCTAGGTAGCTAGCTAGCTAAGTGGAGAGAGAGATGGCTGGATGTGTAGCTAGGGAGCTAGCTAGCTGGACGGCTGCTAGCTGTATGGCTAGCTAGCTGTATGGCTAGCTAGCCAGGCTAGCTAGCCCGGCTA